TGCTGCTGCTGCTGCTGCTGCTGCTGCCGCCGCAGGCTGCCGCTGCGCGCGAAGAAGACCCGCAAGGACGCAGCCAATCCAGCTTCGCCAAGATAGAATGAGAAGGTTAAAACGAAGAGAAGCAACTAAGGAGCTGGTGTGGGGGGCTGAAGGCAGTGTTGTCGCGGGGTTAGGGGGAGTCGCGTTTCCGTGCGCTGGCAGACCAGCACGAACAGCAGGCAGGCTCATCTGCTGCTTCTTCCCACTCTTTTGGAGTTATTTCGAATTTAAGAAGACTTCTCGAGGCTGCTGCCGCCAGATTAAGGGGTTTTTGCGGGCAGAGTGGCCCTCAAACCCGCAGAAACCGACCACAGGTGCACGTGAGGGAACCCAACCCAAGTTCGCCTGGCGACGCGTGGAGCCTCTCAGCTCCTTCAGCCACTGGAATCTCTTTCTTTGACACGAAATTAAAGAGAAACACGTTCAAGGCTCCTCAAATAAGCTGCTTAGCGCGGAAACTTGTGCACAGAAAGCCTAGCTGAACCGCCTGCATGCGGCGATCACGCTAGAACCCGGCCACACGATCTGCGTCTTCTCTTCTCCACCGAAGCTGCTCTCCAATATTAATTTAATAATACTTTTTACCTTTAATTTCCTTATTTCTGCACTACTAATGCACCAAAGACTCGTTTAGATCCCGCCTGAGATACTGCGCCCTGGCTGGTTCCTGAGCGGGAAAGCACTGTTCAAGAAACCTCCTACGGGCAGCAAAATAGGAACTTGTGGCTTTTTTCAAGTTTTTTCTCCTTTTCTGCTGCTTTTCTTTGCCATTTCAGTCCTTGTTGGCGTTCCTTTTCGCCTGAATGCTCCTTTTGTCCATTTTCACTTGATTTCTTTTGGTGCTTTCCCTCTAAATTGCGCCTTTAACCCCTCTATCCTCCGTTTAATACCCATTTCAAGTTGACTCGGAGTATTCAGATTTGCATTTCAGCCATTTTTTTTCCACTCTGAGACAAAAGCCGCCCTACCAGCGCCTGGAAAGCTGCACTAATCTCAAACGAACCTTTTAAATTCCTTGTAAGGGAATTTAAAAGGTTTAAATACTATTTCCCAGACTTGCAGCAAATAAAGAAGAAGTCCTGGATGCCTCGGGCACCTGGGATAGCCACAGCTAGCTTGCTGCAGCTAGCTCAGCACAGCCAGCTCCAGAAATAGCCTCTCGAACTCCTATTAGTTTATGTTTTAAGCTTCATTTAACGTTTGTGAAAAGTCTCGCGAAAAAATCACTGACATCTGCACTTAATTGTTTGCGTGCTTTCGTTTGCATGCGCATGCAAGATTAGTGCTTTCTGCACGAGAAGATCTTCTTTTTTGCACAAATAGTTTGGGTCTTTGCTGGTTTCATTTAGGACTAATTGTGCGCATCTTTTCCTGTTTAAATATATTTTCTCAAATTAATTCCGAAAGCTGCAAAGAGAATTGAAAATGCCTTTTCTTTCCCATAAGTTCCAAATTCACATTTCCTGTTTCAACTGCCCGCAGCTAAAGAATGCCTGCGCCATCTTGCTGCAGGTGCCTCTTGCTACTGTTCAGTGTGCAGTTTCATTTATTGCTTTTTAGTTGAAATAAATTGAAAAATCTGGAGAAGTCCATTTCCCTGAATCTGCTGCGGTTTCATTTCGTGGCTGCAGAAAGCTCTTCTGCACAGCTCTTTTCTGTGCAGCCTCAGGGAGGCCAAGAAACAAAATAATCTTGAAAATAAGTTTGAATCAACGTACCTCAGTCCTGTAGCTGCAAGTGGAATTGATTTGCTTCACTGTAGCAGCAGCAGCAGCGGCTGCTGCTGCTGCTGCAGCTGCTTGTTTGGCGGGTTCTTGGAACAGCTCTGTTCCGCCCGCGCTGCAGGGGGAAAGGAAGCTCTTTGGCGTTCTTAGACAACTTATGGGATAATATCGCTTTGAATTCTGCTGTTAAAGCTCTGTCTTTCCATTTCCATATCTTCTCAAGTTCTCTGCCTCTATCGCGCCAAATGGTACGGAAATGGGGAAGACGCGGCGCAGACTGCGAATCTGCTGCCTGCTGCTGCACAAAAACTCGTCCACGACTCGCACGGTGCTCCGTGGGCTTGAGATTCCTCTAAAAGTGAAATAGAAGTCTGGACTTTGCGCGGGGCGGGCCAGTAAAGGTGAACTTGAAGGCGCGGCGCAAGAGCCGCTAGCTGCTGCATGTGGCCTGGAACTGCAGGATACGAAGGACTCTTTCGCGATTATTGGAGTCTAAAATGTCTTTATTTAACATTTAGTTAAACTGAATTAAAAAATAAAAAGAATTCGCGACTCTTTCCGCCACAGAAGCTGCGGGGGCCTCAGCCTTCGCGCCTGCCGCGTTCGGCCGTGGGGCCCCCCGTCTGTGTCAGCTCTGCAGCGTACAAGTTCCTTTCTCGTTTCTGTTTCTCCTTCTCTTTTGTTTGCAGCATTTATTTGAACTGAATTTGCAAGTAGAAGCGCTCAGGGTCCCCTGCCTGCGGGCTTGCGAAGGCACTGTCTGCCGCCCAGCGCCGTGGAGCCCACGTGGACTTTGCGGCTCTTTTTGCTGCTCTTTTGGCCCCCCGCCCCTCCCCCGCAGCTCTGCAGCTTTCTTTTATCTTTAGCAGCACGAATAGCTCGAAGAAGGGCCCTGTCTCTCTCCCCAGAGTTGCTTTCGTGCTGCAGCGCAGCCCCGGCGGGGCCCCTCTGCTGCGCCGGCCCAGCCCGCCGCCTCCGCAGCCCCGGGGGCCCTTCCGCGCCTGCAGCCAGGGTCCCCCGCCCCTCGCCCGCAGCAGGGCCCCCCCTGCAGCAAACAGCGCCAGCAGCAGCAGCGCAGCACGAAGGCGGGGTCGGCGCAGCCTGCTGCTCTCCTCCAGCTCCCCAGGGGGGCCCCCCAGTACCATGGGGGAGGGGCCCCCGGGGCCCTCAGTGCTGTCTGGCTCGGATCAGGGGCCAGAGGGTACTGCGCAGACGCAGGAGTTGTGCCCCCCTTCGCCCTCGCATTCGCAGCCTGCTGCGCCCCCTGCAGCAGCAGCAGCAGCA